GATTACCAGTCAGACCTCTGAGGAGGGCCTCTACTAACAAGGCTATACCAAATTGAAAAATAAGTTAGAAGAAACACACTATGCAAAGAAAGCTTTAAAGAAACTCTCTTTAACATCCTCAAGATAGAAGAGAGAAAATATGATTTTCATGAAACAAGAAAAGAGATAGGGGCTGGAGTTGTAGCCCAATGGCAGAGCACTTGTCTAGCATTTATGAGGCATTGGGTCAATCCTTAGTACCGCACAAAAATAAACAAATAAAATAAACGTATGCTATCCATCTACAACCATAAAAAGTTTTTTTTTTTAATAAATATTAAAAAAGAGGGGGGGTGCTGTCTGAACAGAGGGAAGGAAACCAAAACCATCAACCTACAAAAGGGACTATGGACAAGAAGTAGGTTAACTGGCTCACACACAGAGCCCCAGAGAGGATCAGGACCTGGAAATCTCCAGGTTAGTGTTGGAGGGGCCTGAGCCTAAAGAGAAGACAAGATATTTAAAGTCTATATAAGGCACAATTGGGTCCTCTAGGTTCCCTTTTTTACTACCATCCCTATAATTTCATAATTTATTCTAAGAAACCTGATCTGGAGAGACTCCAGACTCAAGAATAGAGTGAGGATCAAAATTTAAAGCCAAAGGATTAAGCAGAAGTGTTTTTATTGAATAGCCTCCACCCATAGCTCACTTCCTTTATCCAGCTCTCATACATTAGAAGGCAGGCATAACAGTACTGCTCCCCTATCAACAGGGAATACATTCCGAGACCTCTAATAGACACCTGAAATCTCAGCAATCCATTTTCCACCCTATAATTTAATCAATTTTCTACCCTAACTAAGCACTTATCATACACGTGGCTGTAGCTTTTGCTGTTTTGAATTGCTACTACAAAACTAACACAAATTTCTTTTTCCTTTGCAATTTTACAGATAGATTTGTTCTTACTGTAGATCTCAGCAACTTCATTATATGATTTTTTTTTCTTATTAAGTCAAGAATTTGTAGCTTTTCACACAAAAGTACTTTCCTGTTTTGCTTTAGCATATCCAAATTGCCAGTATCACTACTCTTGTACTGGGGGCCAGTCTGAGATAAAACAAGGGGCCCTTGAAGAACACAAGCACTGTAATACCAAGATAGTCAATCTGATAATCCAAAGGGCTACTAAGTGACTAACGGAGTAAACAGCCTGGAGATGCTGAATAAAGGGATGATTCACATCCCACTTAGATGGAGCAGGTCAGCTTGAGATTTCATCATGCTACTCAAAATGACATGAAGTTTAAAACTTATAAATTGCTCAATTCTGGGCTTTTTTCATGTAATATTTTCATACACTGGTTGACCAAGGGCAACTGAAACCTCAGAACGTAACACAGAGGATAAAGGGAGACCACTGTACACTGTCCCGCACTCCCAATTTGATTGGTTGATTTAGGTACTTGGAACTAAACCCAGGGGCTCTCTACCACTGAGCTACCAGCCCTTTCTATTTTTTGAGACAGCATCTTTGCTAAGTTGCCCAGGCTGGCCTGGAACTTGCAATTTTCCTGTTGCCTCGGCCTCCCAAATTGCTGGAATTCTAGGTATGTACCACCACTATTCTTGAGTTTATAGTCTAGTTGGAGAAATAAAAATTAAAGACCACCGTCCTCCATTAGAAGAAGTTCTATAATGGAAATTGATTTGGTTACATGCAAAAAGGGCATCTAAATCAAAGAAAAAAATATCAGCTACATGTCTATATGCTTGCCACAAGTGTTTTTAATATCATTAACAACAATATCAAAAAACATCAAATATCTAAGTAATGACATAAGATGTGCTGGGCTTCCACAGAGAACTATAAAACATTACCCAGTGAAATTTGGAAAGACCAAAATAAATGGAAAAATATGCCACATTCATAAAATGAAGAATTCAACACTGTTAAAATATCAATTCTTCCCAAGTTGATATATAGCTTTCATTCCAATTTCGAAATTTATTCAAACTGACAAGCAGATTCTGAAACATGGAAATTCTGAGCCAAGAGCAATCCAGACAATCTTTTTTTGTTTTTATTTTTAGTTGTCAATGGACTTTATTTATTTAGATGTGGTGTTGAGAATCAAACCCAAAGCCTCACACATGCTAGGCAAGTGCTCTAGCACTGAGCCACAACCCCAGCCCAAACCAGACAATCTTAAGAAACAAAACAAAGTTGGAGTGTTTATCCCACCATATACCAAGGCCAATTTCAGAGTTACATTAATACAGTGATATTAGTACAAAGATAACAGACAAATGAAACAGAATGGAATGTCCAGAAACAGAACCACATTTATATGGTCATCTGATTTATTTTTGTTGTTTTTGTCACTAGGATTCAAATCCAGGCCCCACGCATGCTAAATGTGGGCTCTATCATCAGGATACCCAGTCCAATCATCTGTTTGTGAAAAGAAGTGCCACACAGTGCAGAAAGATGGCATTTTTAATAAGAGATGCTGTGTCAAATACACAATAATAGAGTAAAAATTGCATACTGACTACTACAATCCATCTTCACTATTATGTATGCCTTAAATAAGAAAAATAAAAGAGAATTTCTATAATGTAACATGGGAAAATATCTTCATATTCTTAGGGTAGGTACAGACTTTTTAAATAGGATACAAAAAATAAGTAACCATAAAGAAAAAGACTGATAAAATATCTTGCATCAAAATAAAAACTATTGGGGCTGTGGTTGTGGCTCAGGGGTAGAATGTTCGCCTAGCATGTTGGAAGCCCTGGGTTCGAGCCTCAGCACCAAATAAAATAAAGGTATTGTGTCTATCTACAACTAAAAAATAAATATTTAAAAAAATTTTAAACTATTCATGGAGCTGGGATTGGGCTCAGTGGTAGAGCGCCTGCATGGCACGTGTGAAGCACTGGGTTTGAGCCTCAGCACCACATAAATGAATAAAATAAAGATACTATGTCCATCTACAACTAAAAAAAAATTTTTTTTAATTAAGACTATTCATGAAAAAACACCATTAAAGGAATGAAAAGGCAGGGCAAAAGGTATAGATAACTCAGTGGTAATGCCTGCCCAGCATGCCCCAGACCCTGAATTCAATATCCAGCACCATTGAAACATAAATATATATGAAATATGAAATGGCAAAATAAGGAGAGGAAAAAGAGAAATACATAAATGGGCATGTATGTGTATACATACACACATAAATACATAATTCACATATATACAGAGAGAGGGAAAGGGAAAGAACTCATAACCAGAATAAAGAATTACAAATGGAGCATGGTGCCAGGGCACAGGCCTATAATCTCAGCAGCTCAGGAAGCTGAAGCAGGAAGATCCCCAAGTTCAAGGCCAGTCTCAGCAACTTAGCAAGAGCCTGTCTCAAAAAAAAAAAAAAAAATTTTTTTTAAAGGGCTAGGGATGTAGCTCAGTGGTAAAGTGCCCCTGGGTTAAATCCTGAGTACCCATCCCTCCAACAAAATTATAAATGGGGGCTGGGAATGTAACTCAGTGGTAGAGTGCTCTCCGTAGCATGGGAGGTACTGCAAAAAGTAAAAAGTACAAATCAATACAAAAATAAGCATACAATAAAAACTTATTATTAACAGAGACTTCACAAAAGACATATATGGATGGCCAATAAAGGACGCACAACCTCAATCACCAGGAAAATGCAAAATAAAGCTACAATGATATAGTGCTGCACCTCTATGAGAATAGCAACAATCAATAAGGACTTGGGGTAACTGGAATATATATCACTCCTTGCTTATTGGTACAATCACTTTGGGAAAATATCCTAAAGTGACTAAAATTTTAGCATTAATATGACTCAAAAGCCAACAATTCCACTCTTTGGTATACACTCCAACCTAATAATGTTCTATTTCTTGATCTGTGATGCTCACTTAGTAAAAACTCATTACCTGTACACTTAGGATTGTTAACTTTTTCCGCATATTATATTTCAATAAGTTTTCTAAGATTTGACACATAGTTGGCAGAGATCTTAAAAAGTCAGCATACTAGAATAGGGGGGGGAAAGTTTGATACACTGATGAAACTTTACGAATAAAATTTAAAAAAAAAAAAGAAAGCTAACAAATCCCAGCCCAGAAACAAAGATAAAAACTATCAACAGATCATTTTTCTCTAACTTCAAGAAGCACTAGAATTCATTCTTTCAGCAAAGAATGGAGTTTATTATTCTACACTGTAACCCAAGGAAAAGATATCTTTGCAAGAAAACGCTGCTGTTTTTGAAAACCACCTTTAATAGTATGGATAGGGGAAACCTTCCGAAAGTGTTGGCTAACTATTTGGTGAAAAGATGCCACCTGAGATGATCTAAGAGAAATCACAGCAACTCTAAAGCCGACACCAACACCACAATCCAACTACCGGAAATCCTGCGGTTAATCTGAGGCTTGTCCCGCTAGTCATAAGGTGATTCAGTGTTGGTTACTAACGCACCTTAACTGCATCCTTAGGAGTCAGTCACCTGGCATACCAGGCTTTCCCATCGCCTGCCTGGAGCGACCGACAAGCGCAAAACCCCGGAGGTCAAATACAGACAGCAACTTTGCAGGTAAGGGGAGCGGACGGTCACGCCCCTCAGGTTGCGGAGAAGGAACCCACTCTGGCCTCCGGGCAGACAAGAATTGTCACTATCCCCCAAAGGATGCGGAAGGAAGTGCCCCCGAAGCCGCTCCGTCCCTCCACCTCCCGCGAACTCCACAAGAAGACGGGCCGGCGAGTTTCTGCCCCCGCGCCCACAGGAGGAGGGTCGCCTGCGACAGCGAGTGGCGAAAAGGCGAACCCAAGGAACTTAGGCCCCAGCGGGGCCGGACGCGCCCGCCCGCCCTCCCGCTTGCGCGGCAAGTTTGTCGGCCGTCCGCATTCGCCACCCCTTGGCCCAGCTGTACACTCCGCAGAACCGGGACTCGAGGCCCGCCCGGCCTGGCGCAGTGCCCCTCACCTTGGAAACGTTGGGTGGACTTCGCCGTAAACATTAACTTCCCATCCAGCCGGCAGCCGCGCCGCCTCGGCCCTGCTCCCGACTCCGCGCGCCGCTTTCCCCTTGTTCTCAGACGCACGGCGCTCACTCCGGAACTCAGGGCCGCCTCGCGATTCTCACCCACCCCGCCGGGCAAAGCAGCCGACTCCACCGCCCAGCCCCAAGCCTGCCCGCTCGCCAGCTCCGCCGGGGTCCGGCGCGGCCGCGTCAGGAAAGCCCAAGGCGCAGGCGCGGCAGGGCCTTAAAGAGACCCGACCGCCTCTACCGCATAATGGGTTCGAGCAGGTTAGGGGCCCCGCGGGTTGGCAAAAAAAAAAAAAAAAAGCAGAAGCCAAGGGATTGGACCGAGTGGAGCGGGGGCGGGGAAATCCCTCTCTCCTCCGCCCCTCTTTCAGAGCACCAGCCCTCGGCCCTGCAAAACGCTGACTTCCCTCGTCACTTGAACCGCCTCTTGGATGTTAAAGCTGCAGAAGACACACCCCCTCGGGGCGGTAAGCGACCCGGCGCGGAGGGCTGCGGGCCTCACACTGCCGCACCGCCCACGCGCCTGTCTTCCAGGCCTGGGGCACGCGGTGGAGACGCGCAGGCTTCGAAAGGCCCCCCGCGAGTCCTCCGAGATGCGGCCTTAGGTCACACTTAAAACCATTAATCAACATGTAAATGTTGCCTGTGATTATTAAACCCACTTCCATCAGTCGTCTGGACACACTGGGTTTATGTACAGTCCAGCAGAGGGCAAAACGTGGGCACACGTATATGAGATCTTGCTGGGCAACCATCCAAAATCAACGAAGAAATTCTTAGAAGGAATATATAGTTTGGGACAGGATGGGGAAAAATATGTTATTTTACGTATATTAATTCTGGTCCTACCCCAGGAGAAGCAGGAAAGAAAAACAATAATGACTTTGAGGCAAGAGTCATTATAAACTACTGCCTTTATACATTTGGAAGTGACAAAAATGATAGTACCAGACACACAACTCCAAAATTATTTCTCTGGAAATTAAATAACCGGTTATTTTCTAATTTAAATTTATAAGACAAGGGACTTCACAGTAATAAGCATTTCGGGGGGGAAAAACTAATTTTTCAACAAGATTAGGAAATAACAAGAAATAGGAAGTAAAACCATGTCCTCTCCCCAGCTAAAAACGTTGAAACTTTGAAAGTAATCTGAGGCAAATTTTTACATGACTTTAGGTCATGCTATTATTTACAGTAAGTTTCAATCAATTTATTTGTAACCTAATCCACCTTGCATTAAAAAAAAAAAAAAAAGGAAAGAAAAGAAAACTGAGACAACCTGGATGATCTACATTTCCTTCCTATAGTCAGTCTATCAGCAAATCCTGTTGATTTTTACCTGCCAAATGTTTCTTGAATCTGACCTCTTCTGTCTCCTCTCCTCCATCACCACCCTGGTCTAAGCTGGGAGGTGGAAATAGACCACTGACTTAATCTTCTAATTATCCATATTCCCTCCAGGCCCTCTTTAAACCTCTTCACATAACAGAGTGATTAGCCTTTTCAAAATGCAGTACATTGGCTGGGCATAGTGGCACACTCCTGAAATCCCAATGACTTGGGAGACTGAGACAGGAAGATCCAGAGTTCAAAGCCAGCCTCAACAATTTAGGGAGGCCCTAATCGACTTAGCAAGACCCTGTCACAAAATACAAAATAAAAAGGGCTGAGGATGTGTCTCGGTGTTTAAGCACCCTAGGCTCAACAATCCCTGGTACCAAACACACACACACACACACACACACACACACACACACACGTACAGTGTGTCCCTGTCACTTCCCAGCATAAACCACTTCAACAGCTTTCCAAACTAATCAAGCCCCTGCAGGTCAGGCCCCTTGCCCATCTGTCCATTTCTTCTTAGCATTCATATCACATTCCATCCTGCTCTCTCTGCTTCAGGCACACTGGCCTCTTCTATTCTCCTACTATACTCTTCCAATGGGTTTGCTTACACTTTGTTCTGTGCCTAGAAATTTCTTCCAACTTTCATTCTTAACCTCTACTTCTGGGAAATTATCTTCTGACCTCCCTCCTATGTTGATCCCTTACTTTTATCACTTTGTGTAAAACTGTAACTGTGTAACTACTTGGTGAATTTTTCTTTCTCCTGCTAGACATCTCCATAAGGCCAACACTTGATTTTATTTGATTCACAGGTATATTTTTATATTTGTTCAACACATATTTGTTCAATGAATAAGAATCATAGGTGCTAGAACTTAAACTTGATGTGGCTTAAAGGTTACCTAAGTCACAGGTAAAAATATCACAATTTGACATTTGGAATCAGAGTTGAAAAAGAACTCCGGTTATTTTAAAACATTTTATATTATTTTTGCTAGCCTGTCACAAGATTCTTTGAGTAACCTTTAAAAACAAGTTTTCAAAGCACCTTGTATAAAATCCTGAATTAATAATAAGAACTATGGGATGGGCCCACATGAAACTAATTAACATCTGTTGCTTCTAGAGGGGAAGACTGACCCAGGCTTAGTGTCACATGCCTATAATCCCAGCTACTTGGGAGACTAAAGCAAGAGTATCATAAATTTGAGGCCAGCCTGAGCAACCTAGTAAGACCTTGTCTCAAAATTAAAAAGGACTGGAGATATGGTTCATTGGTAGAGCACTTAGCATCTACAAGGCCTTGGGTTCAATCCCAGTACCACAGGGAAAAAAGGGTAGGAAGAGTGGGTGACTAGTGGTCAGTGGTAGAAAGGAGACTTTTTACTGTATGCCCAAAAGTTTTAAAATTGTACCTTTTCAATTTTCAAACTTATGAATGTATTAGCTGTTCAAAAATATATAAATGACACCAGAATGCATACTGTACAATTTCATTTATTTGAAATTCTAGAAAAGGCAAAATTAATTGAGATAAAACAATTTTAACAAGATGTAGCCCAGTAGTAGAATACATGCTTAGCATGCACAATGCCCTGGATTTGATCCCAGCACCACATGCACATGCCCACACACACACACACACACACACACAAATCCTTGGAAAACCATAGTTGGTCTTAAGCTTCTCAGAAGCCCCAGTACTTTGCATAGTAACTGTTCAATGTATTTTGAATGAATGATGACAAACAAGTCTGGCATTGACTTTACTGGTTACAAATTATGTTTATATGTTTACATTTTATATGTTTTCTGGTAACTAGTAACTTCCATATCAATGCAAACGACTAAACTACAATCTAAAGGGTTTTTTTTGTTGTTGTTGTTGTTTTGTTTTTTTTGGGGGGGTACTGGGGATTGAACACTGTGGTACTCCACCACTGAGCCACATCTCCAGCCCTGTTTTGTATTTTATTTAAAGACAGGGTCTCACGAGTTGCTTAGCGCCTCGCTTTTGCCGATGCTGGCTTTGAACTTGCAATCCTCCTGCCTCAGCCTCCCAAGTGGCTGGGATTACAGGAGTGCACCACCATGCCCAGCTACAATCTAAAGTTTTAAATTTATATTTTAAACATATTTGTATGCATATATGGGTATATGCCAGAAGCCATCCATGAATTTCATGAGGATCTTCTCTCGGTATGGTAGCCAGGGAGATTTAGGTTTGGCATTGCAAACTATCCGTGGCTCTCCCACAACAATAGATTGCCCAATGGACGTGACCTTTATCTCTACTCTGTTAGGAAGATACCTCAGTAGCTATGGAGATGGGTATAACCTGATGGAAACTGAACAGTCCATTTTTAACCTTTTTTGGTGAAGCACAGTCTATGGAAGGCCTTTGATGTTTCCCCATATAAATAAAACAGGCACGGGCTTCATTTTGCCATAGCACAGAAGCTCGATCCGTCTGATCAGCTTGCCCGTCCTGCCCCGGCTTTTGAAACTTCTTTCTGTGTCCTGTGGTTTTTTTGTTGTTCTGTTTTTCTTAGCTTTTATTTCTCAGCCAGCCCATTCCACCCAGGGGAACCCCATTTCCTCCTCCTCCTCCTCCTCCACCACCCCCACCCCCGCGCAGGACGCAGAAGAGAGGTATATACCTATAATTTATATCAATTTAGCACTGCTGCACTAAATGTCTGAGACGTATTATCTCAAATGAGTAAGCTTATATCATTAGCTCCGACCTGCCAGCACTATCTCTGGTTTACCCATTTCTTTCCCTCATCCTGAGCACATCAGTTTATTTGGTGAAAGAACTTACACTTTAACATCTCACTAAAATAGCTAATTCTAACCTCTCACAAGTGCTTGAGCACTTGCGTAAGTGAAATCCCACTGTGAATTCCACACCAACGCCACCTCTGTTCCAGCTCCTGCCACTCTGCAGTTCATACTCAAGAACCTCACACATCCAGAAGAGGAGGGAGCAGTGCAGTGGACAGCAGCACCCTCCTTAGAGACAATTTTATTTACAGTAAAATTCAGTAAGCATTTCAAAGCTTTCTATGTTCAGATACTACACTTTGTTTGTTTGTTTTTGTGCTGGGGGTTGAATTCAGGAGACTTTAACCACTGAGCTACATCCCCAGCCCCTTTTTTAAAATTTTGAGACAGGGGCTCACTAAGTTGCCCAGTCTGGGCTCAAACTTGCCACCCTCCTGCTTCAGCCTCCTGAGTTGCTGGGATTACAGTTTTGATCCTCAGCACCATACCTAGGCACCACTTTACACTCTTAGCATGGATTTGGTCTGGGAGAAAAAAATCCTGTAAACCTGACAAGGGTTAAATCCCATAACACCAGAAACACTTAAAGGTGTATAAGCCAGCCATATGAGCTCTATTGCTCACAGAAAGGAAAAGCAAGAGAGACATTCCCCCTGAGAGGCCTAGGCATAGATACTGAGGAGGGATTCATTCTGTAAGGTCAAATGCACTGGTGTACACTCATCCTTTCCCTGGGCAGCTGCAATTTGCACTTCCTTAGAAAAACAGTGCACTAGAAAGCCGGATTCAGTGGTACACACCTGTAATCCTAGGAATGTGGAAGGCTAATGTAGGAGGATCACACTTTCAATGCTAGCCTGGACAACTTTGTGAGA